AGAGTGAGAAAAATCAAGAAGAACTTTCTCGGAAATCGAGTTAAACTCCCGCATAGCGCGCTTGAGAGGAGCATATCCAGCAAAATTAGTACTTTCCTTTTTATAATAAAATGGGGAAATGGATCTGAGACAACGCTGGGGAGTATTGAAGTTAAGTTTCCCTAATAAGTAGGGACAGTCAGTTTCTCCGTTAATTATATTGTAGACAAATGAAAGTGAGAGAACGGACCTTCGATTTTCCAGTAATTTAAGATGTAAAAGCAATAAGCGGGATGTATACGATGGTATTGGGTCAACAAACTTTAAGGAGCGGAGAGCATATTTAAGAAAGATCTTTTGAACACGCTCGATCCTGTTAATTGACGATATGCAATATGGTCTCCAAATAAACACTGCATACTCCAAAATGGACCGCACAAAACATGTGTACAGTAATTTTAACGTGTAGGGGTCGGAAAAATTTGTAGAATTTCGACGGACAAAGCCAAGTACAGAAAAAGATTTTGAAGTTATATAGTTGATGTGATTACTGAAAGAAAATCTGTGGTCAAAGATTACCCCAAGATCTTTGATTTCAGTAACGCATTTTAGGACGCAATTAGAAATACTGTAGCTAGAAGATAAGATGTTGCGTCCCCTGCTATAGGAGATCTGTGAGCATTTATCTACATTCAGAAAAAGTTTCGATTTCAGGCACCAATTATGAAAAGTATCAATATCACATTGAAGTTTGAGTACATCTTGTGAGTTTTTGATTATTGCAAAAATTTTTAAGTCATCTGCATATAACAGAAAGTTAGCGAAAGAGAAGCAACAGGAGATGTCATTGATAAACAGCACAAAGAGAAGTGGACCCAAGACGCTTCCTTGTGGGACTCCCGATGACGCAATGAATGAATCAGATGACACTCCATCGACAGTGACTACGCATCGTCTGTTTTGCAAATATGATTTAATCCACTTCAAGAAGACCGAGTGAAATCCTAGAGATGATAATTTTTTAATTAGAATATTGTGTGATACTTTATCAAAGGCTTTAGAGAAATCTGTGTAGACACAATCTACCTGAAATCCAGCGGAGAATGCAGACATACAATAATCGCTAAAAACCGCTAAGACACAGTGGAGCGTCCAGCGACAAACCCATGCTGATTGACATTAATTATTGATTTTACTGCAAAAAATAATTTATTTTTAACAGAACACTCAAAAATTTTCGAAATAGTAGAAAGTTTAGAAATAGGCCTGTAATTGGAGACATCATCCTTTCTACCACCTTTATGAATAGGGGTAATGCGTGTCAATTTCCAGTCAGAAATAAAATCCCCGGTGGAGAGAGACTTATTGAAGATAAGCATGAGAGGATATAATAAGGCAGTACAATTTTTTATAAATACGGGCGGAAGCCCGTCCAAATCCAGTTTGGACGAAGACTTAATGTCAGAAACAGCCTTGGCAATATCGTCCTGTGAAAGACACAGTGAGCCAAAATTTATGGATGGGAAGTTATCAGCTGAAAAAGTGGAACTAGTACCAGGATCATCTTGAACATAGTTCGATTTGAAAAATTCAGCGAACAAATTGGAGATTTCGACCGGAGTGCATGCTGACTTATCACCCCAGCGTAAAGCAGAGGGAATGGCCGAACACGCTCTTTTAGATTTTACAAAGTTCCAGAAGAACTTGGGGTTAGACTTGATTGCAGACTCCGTACTATGAATAAACCTTTTATAGAGAGACTTATCCAATTCATTAAACAGTTTTGTGTAGTGCTGATATTGAACAAAGAAACATGAGATTTAGTTGAAGAGAATTTTCTATAATATTTATTTCTAAGATTTTTTAGACGTTTAAGGTCCTTAGTGTACCAAGGCAACTTATATGGTTGTAAACGTTTGAGCGGGATATTATAATGACAAAATTCCTGGATAGATTTCTTAAAAATGGCGAAACAATTAGCTGTATCAAGTCCCGATAGTAAATCATCCCATTTTATTTCAAAGAGCTGATTGTTGAGCGTTCAAAGTCACAAAATGCAAAATTAAAACCAAGCCCATCAATTGGTTTAACAGGAGCGAAAAGATAAGTATCCACCTCAAACGCTAGCGGAGAGTGATGAATGGTGGCAGGACTAATTGAAGATAATCCATCAAGAAACCTAAATTTTAAATTATCACTGAGAAAGACTAAGTCAAGAAAACGATCAAGACTATTTGAATATGAGTTAACTTGAATCAGATTGAGACCAAGCAAGCTATCAATGAGAAATAACTCCTGAGGAAGACGAAAAATTGGAAGGGATAAGAGCAGGACTATAGGAACAACCAGACCAGACGATATTGCTTAGATTGAAGTCACCCAAAACACAAATATTATTATCTTTTACCTTGTTTAATACCAGCGAGGAAATATTATTTGCATGGGACTTGTACAACTCTAGCGGACTATTAGGAGGGATGTATGAGACTGCAATGAACAGAGCATCATTGACACAGATACATAGTTGGTCCAGGATAGAATCTTCATTCTCAAGCATAATTAAGCGAGGACGAAATTTGCGATGAACTGCTAAGAGAACTCCACCCTCTCTTAGACAGCCAGTTTTTTCGTGATCTCTGTCCTTGCGGAAGACATAATAGAGATTTGAGTCAAAATATTCACTATCATATAACTAGAATTCAGCCAAGTCTCAACAATAACGATAATATCGAAATCCAAACGTGAAGAAAAATTGCGAATAATATTTGATTTACACCTAATACCCGATAAATTTTGGTAGTAGACCTTAAGACAGGAGCCAGTTGAGGAAGGTGCAGAAAACGCATGAGTAGAATTGCGATTAACAGGCGCATCAACTAATCTGCAGCTCTGTTTTCCCCTCCCTTTGGAAAAAAGTTAAAGCGACGCAGTTTAATGCCAGAAGGCCACACTGAAGAGGAGAAAACGGCATTAAAAAAAGATGGGGACACACCTAGCTTAAAGTTTATCCTCTTAAGATTATTAACATCGGTATCCTTCTTAATTAATTTATAACATAGAAGATGCTCTCTATCAACATTAGCATGTTTAACGACAAAAGATATAATATCTTCTTCAGTGACCGAGTTTTTAAAGGCAGACAAATGAATCCATTTCTTGGGTATGACGACATCCAGATCACTATTGGCATTAACACCAACAACAGTTGAAGCAGGCTGGGGATTTTTTGTTCCTAGTACTCACTTTTAACTTCAAGTTTCTGTTAGCACTGATTGAAGTAGAAGCGTTGTTAACAGAATCATCAACGGCGACAGAGTGAGCAGCATTGACAGCGACAGGTTGGCGAACTGGTTTAGCAGCAACTGTTGGATTGTTATTGGTTTTCGAGTGAGCGTTGATATTCCTAGCAACAGCGTCAGCATATGTATTGGCATTATTATTATCAGCAGCAATAGAGCGAGTGGAGCAAGCAGCAGACGGAGCAGCCGAGAGTGCTTTCGAAGTAGCGGGAGCAAGATGATCCATACCCACACTATCGGTGGGAGCAGAAACAACAACTTTCGGCGACGGAGCATTTGTACCCGCAATAGTCGTAGAAGTAGAGATAGAGTTAGCAGTAGTTGAAGCTGCAGAGAGTGCCTTCAGTGTAGCGAGAGCGAGATAATTCTCACACACGTTATCAGCGGGAACAGCGGTATTAGACGGAGCAGCGATTGTAGAGTCACTTGTAAGAACAGCAGTTGCAGCAGTGAGAGTGGGGTTGGCAGCAGAGAAATTGCCATTATCCGACAATTTCTTATGCACAGTGCAGATCTCTGATTTGAGTTCGTTAAGCATAGCGATTAACGAATTACGATCATCACATAATTGCTGTATTAACGCGAGCGCCTTCGTTTGTTCACTTCTCAGTGAACTT